TGTTTCAACTGTCCCAAGCCCCTGGTTTTCTTTGGGCACCTCTGTATAGTTTGTATAACTAGCCAGATTTGCTTATGTATTTGTTTGCATTCCCCCAAGTTGTTTTTTAAGAATTAGATGCACTATCAGCAATACTATCTATTTAAAATTGAAATGGTTTGAAGATGCGTTTAATGAACTGTGGGAAGATGTGCAATCTGTGCATGTTTCTTCTCTGAGAAATCTGCCCTAACTTGTAAACTACGTTGAATTATGAACACAGGAAGTAATGAGCGTTTTTGGCAAGAATTAGTAGAAAATATTTGTTCCTGTGTAATAAAAACTATTTGCAAAGATATATCTCATGTGAAATTTGTTCCTACAAAACGAGTTTGGTTGCTTCATAAGGACTAGTCCAACTCCTGTGAAGTGGCCTAAACCCTACCCTAATTCCTTCTCAATTCTTACTGCTGGGTAGTGGCGCAGGAGCGTGTGGTACGAGAGCTTGGAGATGTGTTGTGTCTATGTAGACACAAGAAATTTTAAAAAAATCAGCTAAAAGTTTGGTTATTACCCATTATCATGCCCTATGTGACCGAATCTACTTTCTGCTATGAGAACTTAGAGAACAATTTGAATAACTATTGTCTCCACTCAGCTCAAGTTAACATTTGCCCAGCATTTGCTCAAAGAATCAGGGAAACTGGACGAAAAACCCAATTGAGAAGGAAGACATTGACCCAGAAGCAGAGGTACAACAATTGTTATAGGCATATTTAGTTGTTTTTTTTTTTAGAATTATTCAGTCCAAATGGTAACTAATACATAAAATACCATTTTTAAAATCAATATATTTTTTTTTTCATGATCAGTACAATATCTAATTTAATAGAAACAGTTATGCAGCAGAAATTATGCATTAACTTGTGATTGATTTGATGAGATGATGGTTGGAAGGACCATCACAAATACGTCTACACTATGTCTACGCAAAATGTTAGTATATTTTATGATGCCATTAAAGATGGTAAAGATATTTATAATTTTGGCAGTAAAGTAAAAAGGTGCTCTGGATGTATAAAAATTGTCATTTGAAGCAAATTTTAGAAAAGTACCTGGCGATTCCATGTCATATTTTGATGCAATTGTATTCCGAGACATATATATACATATTGTATATCTCACAGGATCCTCTCTTCTTAAGTAAAAAACTAACTGGCCGTGATTTTACAAATTTTGTCGGTTACAGTAGACACCACAAAAATATTTTCAAAATTAAAAATGATTAATCTGAAAACTTTTTACGATCAGTTTTGTCACAAAAAATATTAAGAGATCTGTCAATGATACCATTTGAAAGTGAAATCTGCAACAATATTTATTTAGAAAGTTCCATAAAAAATTGCAAGTTTGAAATTTCGAAAGTGCCTTATTATATATTCTACATAGGTATTATTTACTGTTTAATAAATCTTAATGACACTTCAGTATATACTAGTTTAAAAAGATAACCTTTTCTACTGCTAATAATACGTAACTACAGTATTCCTTTTGAAAGCGGCAAAATGTACTTGCACCAGGATGGCAAACCAGGGCGCCACGGCCCTGGCACCACTAGTTACATTCTCGTACGTATTTACATAATTTATTTATATTGGGTTCATATGTGTATTGGTGTGGGTTATTAATATCTAACTGCCCGCAAGAAAATCCACTTATAATAAGCCCAAAGCTTGAACTTTTTGAGAACTTAGCCAGTGTTATAAGGAACAGGGAAACGCAAGGATGGCGGCCTGCAGGTGTCAGTGTTGCGTCACACAATTTGTTCTTTCCAGTACATGTACGTATATACGGAGTGTTATACGTAGTATAGGGAAAGTTGTGTAATTCTGCGGTAAATTGATTTCGAGATTTCGTCGAAAATACACGTTTCGGGGTCCCCTGAACAGTAAAAAGTGTTTGTTTTTTTTCCTTTTCAGAAAGTCCGTCTGTCCGGCCATCTACGAACACAATTAGCGCCTAAACCGTACGTAGAATTTTTTTCCAAATTGCAGAAAATCCCTGTCCATCTGGCTCGAGTCGAAGCTTTGAGATTTTGAATTTTTTAAAATTTGGGCATACTTTACATGAAATCTCCCGGACATAGCAATTTCGAAAATAGCAAAACTTTTTTTCGGCGTCCTCCCACAACTATTAATTTGAAGTAT